CATAATTTCTCCATCTTCAATGATTTACTACTGAAGTGCAAACATCAATTTTGGACTCTCTCCTGAGAAACGTTTAACAAAGTCAGTCAACTACTGGTACCCTGTTATCTTTCTAGATTTGCCAAACTTGGAGAGCTCCTTTATAAACCTCTCCCTGAAGTCTGTCTTTTTTTTTTTTTTCTGTTAAGGAAACAGGTTCATTAGTAAATACACAGATGTAAAAATCATCTTCCTCTTTACTTCGCCGTTGTGATATATCTTAGAATTGTTCAGAAGTGCACCCTATTGTGAAAGCTATTTGTGCCGGGTGTGCTAATGCACTCTTTGATTGAGTGAATTAGCAGTCATAACAATCTGGCAGTCTGGCCATAGAAGTGTGCTCAAGTTGATTTGTATTATGGCTGGACTGGAAAATCTAGTGTTAGTTGTTTTTTGCCCTGGGGCATTGTTTGTACCAAACTCCACTTTTCATTTAATTTTCCAATACATTTTGAAAGATTGAAATGCTTGTGATCAACATTTGATCCACTTGCATTATTTAAAAAAGAATTCTGAAAGTAATTTCAGATTCCAAAAAATCTTGCTTTCAATTAGAGTAAACATAATTAGAGTGACGTCGTGCTCGGCATGGTAAGTCTCCCTTTGAATCTATTAAGCATGTTATCTCCTTGTCCTGTCACTGAAAGGAATTCAGTATATCTGAGGTATACATCTGTATTTTTCTGTTCATGCTTCTAATAGAACTTGGGGAAAAATTAAAAGAATAAAATTGCACGGAACCTTTTCTTGTTGTCCTTTCTGCATATTCCCAAATTGTTTCTGCTTCATTTAGTGATGCTATAAAAAGAGGATACTCAAAGCTTTCAGGAAATTTTGAGATATTCGAGAAACATTCAGATATGTATTGCCTTTAAGTTATTAGAACATTTTAGTTTTTTTAATATTCTATGAAATCCACATTTTCAATCTTAATTATATCAATTGCTGTATTGAAACCCTAAAGATTTAAAGACATGACTTATCCTAGCTTTGTCAATATTTGTATCTTTCTTACAATCCTCTGCTTTGCAGTCATTTACCAGAATTATAACGCAGCATGAATATAACTTTAAAATGACTATTGATTACAGAGAAAGCTTTGTGAAATCATTTAGTCAGTTTCCCCACTTGAGAAATCAGTGAATAAAATAGGTCAATAGATAAGGATGGAATGGATGTAATACAGTGCTATGCCTCCCTGGGTTATAAAAAGGGTCAAAAATGAATCCCCATAGAATTCATGGTTTTATACTCGTAAAATAAAATGATACTTACCAAATCCCAACTCTAAGTCCACCTTTCTACAGATTTATTCTTCGTTTTTAAAGCACAGGTTTTGAAAGTATATTTTTATGTTTCCCTGTTTCAACAGAAGCATTTCCTTGTCACTGTCCCTTTTAACCAAATAGGATGCCCTCATCTTCAGGCTAAAGTGCCTGTTGTTATCCAGGTATTCACCGGGACTTTTACTGCAACAGCTAGTCTGTATTTTCTGTCTCCTGCGACCTTACAGCTCTTCTCAAAACTGCATTTCCTACTGAACTGAGCTGTCTCCTGTGCCGATTTTTGTTAAGTAATAGATGGTGAGCCCTGAGACCACTCTCTCTATTAGTTCCATTCACAGAGATGTCTTCGGGGGCACAGAAGGAGGGGGAAGGGGAAGGGAGGGGCCAGGAGGGGGCAGAGGGAGGGAAGAAAATACCCTCCCTGAACTGATACAAGCTCAGCTTCAAACGATATCCTAGGAAAGAAATTAAAGACTTCTTAATTAGTGCAGCAATTAAGCTTTCTTGGTAGCATTTTAATCAGCATAGGCCCTATCAAAGGACAAACAGAACAATTTGCAGGTCTTTGAATTTTAAACAGTCTTATTGATTTTAGCACAATACGTCTTCACAACACACAGGGAGAATTTTCTAATATCAGTTACAGTACTCTGAGTTATGCTTATGCAAATTGAGTGCAGGTTGGAGAGGAGGAGATGGAAGGAGAGGACCTGAACCAAACAGAGATGTAAAACAATAAACAAACAAGACAAAAGCTTGGAAACCTAAAGATGTGATAGGAAGAGTGGGAATTCGAAATCTGTGCAGTTGATTTATCTGCTGTTATGAAATACCATTTGCCTTAATCTCTGGTAATATTTCTCAAAAAAATAAATAAAAAGGAAAGAAGAAAATAAATTTGAATTTTTCCAGGCTTTTCTTTCCTACATATTTTAATTTCCATTATGTGCCTTTTCTAATCCTATTGTTTGATCACCGGGGTAAGTGGTAGTTCCTAAAAAACGGTTTAGAGACCTGAGATGGGGGGTGAGGGGAAGGAAGCTCCCATTCAGGTAGGGGCAGGCACCCCAAGCCCTGCCTCTGAATGGAGCACGTGCTGGGAGACGCAGGGTTCCCTGCAGAAAATTTGGACTTTGCTTTGATGCTGGGTGGGATTATGGCTTGGTCAGCTATCATTACTTCCTGTCCGTGGCTTCGGAGTGTGGCAGGTATTAGGTGAGTGACAGTTTAAGGAAATATGAGAAACGAGAATGCTTAGAGCAGATTTGGGGCATTTAATTCTGATTTTTTCCATTTGTGGGTCTAGAATTTAAAACGAAGAAACTGGTTTAGCATTTTAAAAACTAGAGCAGAGTTTATTAAAGTTGTGCATGCAATTCCAAAATAAAATTAGTAGACATAAACACTTAAAGAAGTGTTCTGATGTATGTGATATATATCCAATCCCTATTTTTAACTGAAGTCAGATAAGAGGAGTGAAAATTAATATAAATTATTTCTGGATATATCAAACTACATTGGCTAACTAGGCAAAACAACTGTATACACTTTAGCTATCTTATAGAAGTTAATATACTTTTTGGCAACAATCAATTTTCTGAATTCTTATGACCCAGGAAAGCCTCCTGATATAACTGCTATGCCCCAAAAAGTTTAGTATAAACTTAGACTAATTAGTCAACAGTGCCATATTTCTCTATAAATATTTCCTGCACCTTTTGACACTAAACTTCAAAAAGGTTAAAGAATTAAAATGATAAAAAGAAACATGATAATAATTTCAACACTACACTGTGAACCTGATGCTAGTAGTTTATTTTTAAAATCTGTCAAATGTTAAAGCACTCTTTCTATCTTGTAAAGTTAATGAACATGTGCAGACAGGTTTAAAGCATAATTATTTAAGATTCCTAGAGATATAAACAGAGAACAGACTTGACCTATGCTCAAATCACAGGTTGGTCAAAAATCCTTGAATAAATAGTACTTTCATGCAACAAGTTAGAAAAGGGAAGAAAAGCAGAGAGGAAGGCAAAGAGGAAGAGAGTCTAAACTCAGCCTAGTGTTTTTAAGCATAGCCTCCCTTTCTGCCTTTACAAGTCAACTAGCGAGCTTTGTTTTTGTTCTTTTCATTATTTACAAAACATATTTCTACAAACTGAGGACTTTCCCAAAATACAGTGATACTTTTAAAATACAATATATGTGTGTGTAGGTTGTGTGTGTATATATACACACACACATATAGTTACTCACCTAACACATTAGCAACTAGCCTTGGGTTTTAAACGATAAGAGGATGGTTGGCGTCTGTGCAAGACAGGTGAATTAATTATAGAGTGCTAGGTAAGAAAAATTAGTGTGTTGTTTCCCCCCCCACTTTTTAAATCTTCGAGGGTGCCTTATCTCTTCGAATTCTCTCGGTATGATTGGCATTTCTGACCTGCCTTTGGGGCGAAAGTGAAGTTATTCTCAACCATCCACATCATGGCAAGCATTTCTTTCTTTCCACAATCTATTAGGAAATGAGGGATTGAATGCAGAGCATTCCATGATTCTTAAGCGATTTCAGACTGACTTTTTTCCCACAACTTGAAAACTCTCCTGGAATTTTTCACTGTCTTTAAACAAATAAATAATTGAACCGACAGATAAAATAATCAGATGCAGAAAACATGCGCTTTGCTTCCACATGGATTTTCCTCAGAATAATTTAATTATCATGAAGGGAGAAGATGTGTTTTCATTTATATCTCATTTCAAAAAACTAGCGGAGATACATCCTAAATCCTTGAAGGAGAGCTCGGAGGGCTCTGGCTCCTCTTTAAATTGGCAGACGATTGCTCAGAAGGTTTTGGAAAAAATTACGAGTCTTCGCGGACGAAATGGAATATTAAGACATGCAGTCTAACGGTAGTAGAAGAGAAAGAAGTAGATGATCCCTCTTTCCGATCTCCACTTCTGTGTCCGGGCTTTTCCTCTCCGTCCCTCCCATAGTTTCTTACTTATCCTCCCCCTCCCCTCCTCCTTTTCTCGCTCCCTCGCTTTCCCTGGGTCTCGCGCTCTCGGAGTCTGCTCCGAGTTCCTGGTTGGATAATTTGGGTTAATACTAGTGAGTGAGGTTTTTGCGGCTTCAAAGGGTATTTCAAGTTTCCGGAGCTCCTCCCCTCTGCACCGTGTGACAACAACAACTCGTCCAGCCGGCAGCCTGCACTTTTCAGCTCATTTTCTCTCTGTCATTCCCCGCTCAATCTTTGATCAATGTACTTGCCAGGGAGAACCCAAGTCCTTCAAACCTCCTCCTTTTCACCTTCATCCTTAACTTTGTGCTAGAGCGGGACCCACACAACAACAGCCGACCCTCCCCGCCCCCCCACTCCAAACCAGCCCCCGATCCCAGCCCCCGGAGAGGAGTCTCATTTCGACTTGCGGGACACTTTTGTGCGTTTCTCTCTAGAGCGCCTCTCGCGCTCGCCCCTCCTGCGCTCGCTCTTTCTTATCCTCACCTCCTTTTTCCCCCCTTCTCTCCCTTTCTCCTTGTCGTTCTCTCTCAGAGTTGTTGTTGTGGCCCCCTAGCTCCTTCTCCCCCCCGCCCCCCTTTTTCCCCTTGCCCTCCCCGGGGTGTGTGGCAACTTTTTCCCTCGCTTCTCCTTCTGTTTCCCCTTATATGTGACCATGGCAGTGCCGGCGGCTTTGATCCCTCCGACCCAGCTGGTCCCCACTCAGCCCCCGATCTCCACGTCTGCTTCCTCCTCCGGCACCACCACCTCCACCTCCTCGGCGACCTCGTCTCCGGCTCCGTCCATCGGGCCCCCGGCGTCCTCAGGGCCAACTCTGTTCCGGCCGGAGCCCATCGCTTCGGTGGCGGCGGCGGCGGCGGCCACAGTCACTTCCACCGGCGGCGGCAGCGGAGGAGGCGGCGGCAGCGCGGGCAACGGAGGCGGCGGCGGCGGCGGCCACAGTCACTTCCACCGGCGGCGGCAGCGGAGGAGGCGGCGGCAGCGCGGGCAACGGAGGCGGCGGCGGCGGCGGCAGCAACTGCAACCCCAACCCCAGCCTGGCGACCGCCAGCGGCGGCGGCGGCGGCGGCGGCGGCGCCTCCAGCACCCCCATCAACGCGAGTGCGGGCAGCAGCAGCAGCAGCAGTAGCAGCAGCAGCAGCAGCAGCAGTAGCAGCAGCAGCAGCAGCAGCAGCAGTAGCAGCAGCTGCGGGCCCCTCCCCGGGAAACCCGTGTACTCGACCCCGTCCCCAGTGGAAAACACCCCCCAGAATAATGAGTGCAAAATGGTGGATCTGAGGGGGGCCAAAGTGGCTTCCTTCACGGTGGAGGGCTGCGAGCTGATCTGCCTGCCCCAGGCTTTCGACCTGTTCCTGAAGCACTTGGTGGGGGGCTTGCACACCGTCTACACCAAGCTGAAGCGGCTGGAGATCACGCCCGTGGTGTGCAATGTGGAACAGGTTCGCATCCTGAGGGGACTGGGCGCCATACAGCCCGGAGTGAACCGCTGCAAACTCATCTCCAGGAAGGACTTCGAGACCCTCTACAATGACTGCACCAACGCAAGGTAAAGAGCGGGGGTCAGCCTCCGCCGCCCGTGTTCCCTTCCCACCGGTCTCCTCGCCCTTCCCTCGTTCCCTTCAGGGCGCCGCTCGCTCCGCGCGCCCGCGAGCCGCGCGCTCCGCCGAGCGCGGCCCTCTCCTCTCTTTCCTCGGGGCTCACCGGCCGCTCCCGACCCTCGGCGAAGTTGGCACCTCACCCTGCCCAGACCGC